CACACAGTTAGGCCATTTAAAACCATAGACACCACAACAAGAACTTAGAACAGTACAAGAGAAACCATAGACATATATTTACACCAACGACTTTAACCATTGTATATATAGGGTGCCTCAGAATTGATTACTTATTTTACCAAAATAAACTTACTGTATAAGCGCTTTCTTTCGATGATTCAAACGCGTTTGGATTGTCAAATCACGTTCTTTCGAAGTGTGATCTTATGATCATGAATCATGATTGCTAAAATCGTGAACAAACTGAACATAAAAGTTTTATGATCACGAATTCCTAACCTATAAATGCAAGGATGTTTTTGCTCAAATGTTAGGTTAGTTAATATTTGTAACTGAAGAGGTGCATAATCGTGCAAGTACTTCCACTTGTATTTAAATTATTTTCACAATCCAAACAAAAAAATACGTAATTCGAATGCGAATGTGTACTACCTACGTAAACTTAACCCTACTTTGATTTAATTTCGCGCGTTCTTTCGTAAAACGCGATCCTACGAATTACGATTTTGAAATCATGATCGCAAAGTAGCCGAAAGAAAGCGCCTTATACAGCTTGTCCCAGATCACGTGGGATTGCATGGGTAACTTTCTTATTATTAAAGATAGAGGATTGGTTAAATGGACAACGTTTTGCAGTTTTAGATGGTTATTTAAAAATTCCTTGTGGAAATTCAAAATGCCGAATAGGTTCGACGTAAATTCAAATAAACTAAAATTGGTCATTTCCTTTAATCTCTTATATCATCGAAAGTATAAGAGATATAAAAAAAAGTTTTATATAAAAGTTATACTGTCGTTGATACGCTTCATTTAGAATTGATGTTAATAAATTCAAGATGGCTACTTTTGAGGAACATTTACAACTTTCCAAAGTTAAATAGGCGCCATATTGGATTTTTAGATTATTTGATAGATTTTTTAATTCTCTTTTCAAGGGAGCTATCATAGCATAAGATTGAAAATAAGATACCAGTTATATCAACGGTTTTTATATTTTAAACAAGTAAGCTGTGATGAATTAAAAAAAAAACAAATCAAAATCTATTCCAGGCAACAAAACAATTAAAATAATTACATCAAATGTTTAAAATACTGGCCATTATTAGTGAAACGCACTTCAAGACAATTTACTTTAGGCAACATGTTGCCATTGATGCTATAAGGGTACGGCCACGACGGAGCGACCATCGCTCCCGACCATAGCATCGCACCATAGTACCCTCGACCCTCGCTCCGACACACGCGCACGGGTGGTCACATCGAGGCTGGGAGAGTGGCAATTTTATATCAGTTTCTCGGCATCCTCTTTATTAATTCAAGTGCTAAAAAGTGGTACCTGCTTCATCCATTAAACAAAAACCGTATGTTGTGTGGAGAATTTCTTCATCTACATAAAGATTTAAGAAAACACCCGATCCGTGCTTTTTTTTAATTATATGAGGATGAAAAACACTTGACTATAATTTAAAACAATTTGGGGATAAACTGAACCAAAACTATCAATTTCAATTTTTATTTATCTACCACAGTGGTCGAAGTGGGCAGGGGTACGTCTGATCCGTGTCAAATCCCGTTTGACATTTAAGATTTAACTGAGTTAAATAAATTTGTGTACTCGTCGAACTAACATAACTATCACAGTAAAAAAATTCGACAGCAACTTTCAATTCGTTACAAATTATGATTTGCTAATAAAATTTCCAGCGGTCACTTGGTTGAGCCAAAGAATACTTAATAATACTCTTTGCTTGAGCAAACTAAATAACTTATTATATTACTATGTAGGTACACAAAAGTGCAGCTTATAGTACGTGAGAGAAGAGTCATTCTACTAATACAAAAAATATGCAAAAGACGCTGAACAGTGATGATTTTAAATACAAGACCGACAAGTATTAAAAAGCAGAAAATTGTTATATTTACTAATAGGCGCCGCCGCCTACTTAACTTAATCCTCTTTGCATAGGAACCAGCAGCACGTAGTAGGTACATACCTAGATACCTTTAAATTACAACTACAAAACATAATCTGTTTGATACTTTGCGGCTGGATAGAATCCTTTTCTGGGAAAAAATTCTGAAATTTAACATTTAAAAGCACTGAATGTTTTTTTTTGTGATCGATGCTATGGTCGGAACGATGGTAGGCGCTCCGTTATGTCGTTTTTTTTACTTCAAACCGTGTAAACCACAGTGGTGTAAACGTAGTCGATGATTATTGCTGATCTAATCTAATGATAACTCTTGATTCATATCTTGCTTGTCCTCTTTTTTCTTTTAAATAACATTCTGTCTTTAAGGAACCGAATTCATCAATTTTCCAGTACCACCGATTTAAACATTTTAAACCTGTGGTAGTATTTTGTAACAGGGCGATAATTTAGATGCTGTTCAAATGTCCGTACTTCGTTAGCATCGTTACTATAAAATCTTTTTTTTTATTGGGGAATGTCGGAGTGAAAAGGGTTAATTATTTCAATGGGTCCTGAAATAAATTTATTGTAAACGCACCAAAGCAGATTGAAATCAGACATAAGAGGGTGAGTTTTTTTCTAGTCACCGCCGTTAACAAACTACATACAGTGAATTTTTTTTTAATGCGAACATAGGAGTTTGCATGCAATGTAATTTCCCTATGTTCGATTTAAAAAAAACACATCAATCTATTGAGTAGTTCAAATGAGTAGTAGATACAATTGACAGATTGTCACATTTTTAAAAATACCGCCGTCCAATTTAATTACGAAATCGGTTAGGTTATTGCTTAGAATGTCAAGGAGGACACTTCGAACATTTATTGTAATTGTTTTCGGTATTTATTTTCTTATTTTCTTCATTTATGTATTGAATACATCAAATTAGTAGAATACCAGGTGCACATGACCTACAAATAATTGAAGGTTGGTTCACAATGAGTTGTGATGTCAGTGCGTGGCCTGTGAGGTCAAGTTACGTAAGTTTATGAAAAATGTATCCTAAAGTTGCTATGGCCTCACAGGGCTTCTTTAAAAAAATCTTACCGAGTGCTCTTCATCATCAAGACTATGAGACTATACAGTTGCTGTTCATAGTCACACAAGTTGCGCGATTTGGGAATGTAAATCACGCACACCTCATAGATTGATGTGTTTTTTTAAAAATCGAACATAGGGAAATTACATTGCATGCAAACTCCTATGTTCGCATTTAAAAAAAACTCACTGTATATAGCCTATTAGTAGCGGTAGCAAGTACAGCTTATAGTAAGTGATTGTACAAATAATTATGTGTAATTGCGTTGTATGTTTTGTATTATTTTGTTGCTGTCTACATAAATAATTGTGTATGAACGTTTTTTAATCCAATTGTATTCCGCCGCAGATTGGTCAAATTTTCTTTTGGATCCCATTGATACGGCACTCCAAACTCCATATCAAGGCTTAAAATTTCTTTGGCTGTTGGAAATAAATTACACTGCGCCATTAATCTTAGAGTGTTACATTTCATTAAAGTGCCTAGCTTTTTAAGTGCCTAAAATATATTTTTTAAATCGTTATCAACTGTTTGATTTGATAGAAACCTCCCAACATGGTAACGGTATGTTGCCCTCTAGATATACAATATCTTGAATGAGAATATTATGAAGAGGTGTTTTCAGATTAACAACGTAAACCCCTCCATATGGAATGAATTCAGAGTACAATCTGCGTTCAAAACAAAAGTCACTACTATAAAATATTTTTACTTCTGATCCAGAAAAGTCTTTTATTTGGCTCCAAATATGTGACACCAAGCCATTTGCTAAACCTTCAATAAAAAATATGTAACAATTGCCATTATTTAATATAAATCCAGTAACAACATTGTTGTTGTTGTCAGAATCAAGTTCCTTGTTAATGTTGCTTTTTAAATAATTAGCGATCATAACTTCTGGTCCCAAAATGTTTTGATTATGTAGCATAACCAAGTGTAACAATTGATGTGCCAGCTCATATCTTTTCACAATCACAAAGAGTTCGTTGAAAATAGAATTGTTACTGTAAAGCTCCAAAAATGCATTTGACGGTGCACTTAAATGTATTTCTATGTCTACTGTTGTGCCAATTTTAGATAACACACCTTCTGTTAAGGGACTACCACTATTAAGTTTGCTCAGGACCTCTAAATTAATATTATTGATTGTGGTTGTGCTGTATCTTCTATAATTGTTCCTTTTATATAGTAGGGCATCGGGATGATGACAAGTTCCAGCTTCTTCAACAAACCAGGAAGGTTTCAGAAGTGATGAAACATTAAAACATGCTACCGCCAATGTGACCATAGTGGATTTAACATTCCATCTTTCCAAAATTTGTTTGCAGTTTCGAATTGTGACTTTTCTTCCTATACACTTGTCATTAGCTTCGAAACCAAACAGGCTTGGTACAACGGTCTTGAAATGTTGCTCTCTGCGTCCTCGTATCTGTTAATAATTAATAATTGCAGCTATGATTGTTATTGAAGAAGTGGAAAAAGCTTTGCCACATTGCCCTTTTTTGCAGACAAAAGTGCAATTTGGTAGGTATATGACGGGTATGTTATCCCTTGAAAAGCATTTCTTATTCCAAAATAAATTTAAAATTGTACGCAGTTTTTCGTTATAGGGCCAGGAATTAGTTAACAATTTAAAAAAACCATTAAAAAAAACATATTACATTTACACCAAAAAATATTTATTTATGATATACAGGGTGGTGACTTGCGTAACGCATCATAGGGATTTCAATGTAAAATTCATAAAATGCGATTATTGGCTCCCCAAATTATTTTAGAGTAAAAATGTATTAAGGTTTTTTGTAGGAAAAAATTTTTTACGGCAATCAACCCTATTAGTTTTCAATTTTTTGCATAATAAAGACGGAAAATTGGAAAATAAAACCCCCATCTTTTTCAATAATCTGCGATGCCATGGAATTTTCTAAAACAAAAAGATATCCAGTTATCAATTAGCAGCAGTTCGAAATGGCTTTTATGATCGACTTGGTTACTGTATTGCAGTTAATGGTGACTTATTCGAACATTTATTGTAAATTGTTATATTAGGAAACCGTTTTTAGTAATTTGGTCTTTCTTTATGTTGAATTCGCTGTTCTAAATATAATACTTTTTGATAGAATTTGATTTGTTTTATAGCGGACATTCCATGGCATGACGGATATTGGCGTAGTTTTTGTATTATAAAATTCCATGGCATCACAGATTATTGAAAAAGATGGGGGTTTTATTTTCCAATTTTCCGTCTTTATTATGCAAAAAATTGAAAACTAATAGGTTGATTGACGTAAAAAATTTTTTCCTACAAAAAACCTTAATACATTTTTGCTCTAAAATAATTTGGGGAGCCAATAATCGCATGTTATGAATTTTACATTGAAATCCCTATGAGGCGTTACGCAAGTCACCACCCTGTATAGCTTATACACTGGAAATTACTTTTTAAAAATTATATCGTTTAAATGCCCACCGTCTCCACTTCGGCATTCCTATAAACGAACACGAAAATTTTCGAGTACTCGCTGCAATAAAGATCCAGGTATTGCTGACATCTCCTCTCTTATTTTTGTCTTTAATTGGAGCAGCGTCGATGGGTATAGACACGATGTTTCGGATATCCCCAGAGAAAAAATCTGGTGGGGATAGGCCAGGACTCCTAGGTGACCACGGAATGTCACCTCTTCGCGTAATGAGCCTTTTTGGCAACATTTTTGTGATGACCGGTAGGGATTCGTTAAGGCCGCTTTACATACTGCAATTCTTTGTGCAATACAGTTGCAGCAAGTTTAATTGCAAAAATACTGTACATGCAATAATTATTGCACTTTGGTTTTACACGCGGCAATTTTCTTTTTGCAATAGTTTGTTACCAACATTCGCATTTAAAATTGAACTAAAAGCTTTATCTATTCAAAATTCATCAGGTGTTGTTATAATTCTGAATGCGTTTTGAGTAAAAATGAATAGACACTTTAATCGAAAAAAGGCAGTCGCAGCTTCAATTTGTGTAGTAATAGTAAACTAAGTCTAGTTTCAACGTTTGGGAATTCTAGAACCTGGCGTTGTCAATACTTTCCCCCAAAATATCACGTGCAAGTGCAATAAAAATCGCGCGCGACCGCTAACCTGCAATTGCAAGTGAATTGCCAAAATGAATCAGCTGTTTCTCAAACGCGCATGCTTCTGGGCAAGTTTTATTGCGTATTGCATGGTCTTGCATGAAGAATTGCAGTATGTAAAGCGGCCTTTAGATGTATGGCAAAAGGCTCTATCTTGCTGAAACCGCGTCTGCCGATTGTTAACCAGCAAATTCCTGTAGCCGTGGTGTCAGAAATTCTTTCATCAACAGCTTTACCTATTCGGCGTAGTTTACGCTAATCGGGCGGGCTCGAAGATCCTCAAAAAATAGGGCCCAATGATTCCTTTAGCTGAACTTGCTGCTCATACAGTCACTTTGGGGAATGAATAAGAGGCCCCATTTCCTTACTAAAACTGAGCTCGACAACTCATGTCGTGTAAATGGTATTCAAAGCGAAATAAACGCCGCACAGTGATGGGAGCAGGAGAACCATTGTTTAAATAAAATTGTTTTACGCCAAAGGCACGCTGTGGTCCCGTGAAGCGATCCATGTGACTAAATTTCCAAGAACTGAGCTAGCCGTTAGATCGCTCCCCGCGCCTCCCACATTTTATATTTGCGCGGAAGATCAAACTCAAATGTAAACAAATTCCTGGCCCACCCTGTATTTGTACCTATATCAAAAATAGGTACAATGGGCGCTACTTCTTTCTCGCCATTTCACCAAGATATACGTAGCTACATTTCTTTAGCGGGTGATGAATCTTAAGTTATAGCATTGAATAATAAACATTGAATTTCAATGCTCTCAGATTTATTATTCAATGGTTATAGTAAGAATTGGTTCATACCTCTGCGATTAATCTTCCAGTTTGAATAAATTCCAAAAATTTCAGTTTGGGTACACCAGGTAGAAAGTGCGCGTGTCCCTCATTAAATGTTATGCACTGTTCCAAAGGTTTCGCTACCGTTGTACACTGCGCAATAAATGGCACGTTGTATCGAACAGAAATATCTTTAAACCTACATTAATAAGTCATTTTGTTACCTATATAGATAATAGTTGCCCATACCCATGTAAAATTAATTCCTTCAGAGGTAAGTTGGTAATTTTATTAATTTTAATTATGAGTGAGTTAAATTCGTTTTTTTGTATCTTTGTGAGTAATTCATTTGTCGACATTAAAACGTAAGCTTCTCCAAGAGGACCACAGGCTTCTGTTAGGCTATAGATGGCAAGGTCGGGATCTGTGTATAGCCCTTCTCCCGATACTCGTATGGTTATTGCATTACATCCTTTGTCTTTATTAGCATTTTGCGATTTATCTTTCTTTTTTTCGTGCTTAGTCGTTTTTTCAGGATCTCCTTTACCTTTGGATTTCTTGTTAGTTTTTTGAGGAGATTCGTTTTCATCCATATCCTCGTGAAACGACGGGGGCGGGCAAGAAGGGGCAAAACTTTTGAACATAACAGCGTCAGACACTTTGATGCGATCTATAATCTGATTTGTATAAAATTCATGAAGTGGGTCTAAAAATATGTTTTAAGCTAATTATAGCCAATGTTGATCTCTTACAGTCTAAAAATTTTAATTTTGTTATAACTTCTTTATCGTTGAACTTTCCTGGATACTCAGCACATTCCCATATTAAACCTTCAATAAAATTCTTTAAAGGTTCTTCATCATAGTTGTATTGGTTTACATTTGGATCGTAATCATACGCCAAAGAAAACTTTTTTGGAGATTCTAGATTTTTCTGATTTATGAAAAAAGTTTTATTTTTTTCCTTTTTGGCGCTAAAGCAATGGGTTTCAGAACATTAGAGAAACATATCTACCTAGATACTCATTTCCAAGTTTTGCTGGATTTGTCATTATGATGTAGTTAATTACATGACCGTGTAATTTAAAGATATCCGAAACATCCAAGTCATTGAAAACGTGTGTAACATATACCGGAACCCAAGATAGATCATCTTTTACACAGGTCTTTAATGCGATGTGCCCATCGAGAGTGTATACCTAAGCATTTGAAAAATAAGTAACCGTTTTAGGCTCAGACTAACTTCAAGGTTGTTAATCTGCGAGGATTTAGGTAACTTCACAACACCTTTGCTATTGTTTTCCAGCAAACAACGTCAATTTGATATTTTGGCCGTCCAGGTAGAATCTCATACTCTACATGGCAACTACCAATGGGACTGTCGACTTCATACATATACTCAGGTTTTTGCAACGTCACTGGACTATTCCTTTTACTAGGATTCCGTTTGTCCTTTTTTTGTTTTCCATGCGATTTATGTTTTTCAGGCTTACCGCTTGGGGTGCTTGAAGAGTCTTTAATAGAAAATGCTAAAAGTATTGTTAATTTAAGCGTTTTCATTTTTATAATTTATGAATAAATATCGAAACATAAAAAGACCAATGCTAATTTTTTCTCACTGTCAATACACACGTCACGGTGACGTATTTTCGAAATCACGCACCAGTTCGTTAATACAGGCATGTAAAGGTGCAGGAATGGAAGACGCATCTCATCACTATTCACGTTCTATTAATTCCAACTCTTGATGCGCCACTGAGCCATACTGGCTCCTCCTGCAAACTCTAAATTCCTCTGCGCTAGGCCCGCTCTCGCCTTCTTCTGTAGTTAATCTGTCATAGAACAGCGGGTGTTTGTATACTTAATAAATAAATGGAATTGTAGTTAATTGTCTGATGTTAGATTTTATGATATAACTTGATGACAGTAAAATGTGAGAAAGTTTTTATGCAGGAGGAATACCTAGCAGAAAGAGACGGTTAAATGAAGAAAATTTGCAGTTTTACGAGCTCATTTAAATGCAGAAATTTTTTTTCGTTATTTCGTTTGATGCTTCTGGCTTTGTTATTATTGAAATAAGAAAATGTGTACAAAAGAAACAAGTTGAAAAGTACCTACACAATGCGTCGAGCTACTTACGCGCGTTTTTTTTGCGACGGATCGAGGTTTTATTAGCTCCGAGATTAGCTCTGAAATATAATGTGCCAGCAGAGAATTGTGACACAAAGCTACCTAATGCTTCAAACCCGAGCATTCTACGAAGATCCTTTCGAGATTTATACGCCGACCGACCGACCGACCGAACAGCCAAAGTGAATACATATACCTATGAGCGCTATTTTTTCCAAAAACGCTCTAAAAATTGTAGAAAATTACGAGATTCAAAGGAGCGTATATATAACTGATGCCAAAGAGTGGGTAATATTATTATGTATTCTTTGCTGATGTGTATTTTGAGAAGATACCAGTTTTAAGTAAAAACAGCGAGGCGTTTCTGTTTTTGATAGAAATCGGTGTTTTGTAGGTCATTACTCAATATGTACCTAGGTATTTAGCGTTTCTACATTTCGCCATCAGATTAATGCTTATCTTTGACGTCGGATGTCACAGGCCCGTATAGGGGCTGATGGTATTTCTAGTACAAGAAAGGGACTTTGCAGTGTCCCCCAGGCTCCTCGACGCTACGTCACTGTTATCAGAAAATATGCCCGGGGATGAATATAGGAGCCGAAATTATAATAAACAGGTTATCATAAAGTAAGGGATATATTACAGTTTCATTTATGTATTTTTAACAAACTAAGCTAACAGCAGAATGTGACATGAAATCGATTTTTTAAATAATGGGAATTCTTATGTCCACCAGCATGGTTAACGTAAATGTTCAATATGTCGTCCATTTTGCTGATGTACGATTACCCTTCGTTCCTTCAAATTGTCCACAGCGTTATTTAGCATAACTGCGATGATTACGTCTAACAACTGGGTATCAGTAGTTCATAGATACAGTAAAATCCAATTATTATATTTTTGTGATGTCTTACAGGAAGAAAGCGTGGGTTTCAGGGAAGTAACAAACAGTGACTCGACGCAAACTGTACTCAACAAACATTATTATTAATATCATGACTATAACTAAACAAGCGACAGCACCGCTCTCCGTGCCGCTCGATCACTACTGTCCTCGCGTGAATTGTCCCTTGAATGGCTTCACAAATAATCCACACATGCGCACTCAAACGATCACTACACAACAGCTATAGCATGTGCAAAACCAAATTTTAAACTTAAAACCTATGTATGAAATTTCATTTAATTGCTCCCATAAATAAGAAAGTTGGCACTGCACCTCCTACACAAAACCAAATTTGGAAAATGGCGCTACATTTGCTTTTATTCCAAGTGGCTAGGCTATGCATCAAATTTCATTTAAATTCCTCCATAAATGGTCAAGATGCGAAAAGGGCACTGTGAATGTTGATTGATTAGGCTCAATTTTTTCGTTTTATATGACTAAAACTATACGCATATTGAATTTCATGCAATTCGGTTCATAACTCACGGAGATGTCAAAAGGGCCTTCCTTATTTTTTGGGGTACATTGCCAGTTCACGAACTCCGATCTACAAATTTGATAAAGAATCCATCTACTAAATTTGATCGTAATCGGTCCATTCGATATCGAGATATCGTGCTAACGGACGGACAGACGGACAGACACCGCAAAATTATAAACTCGCTAGGAGCTTATTAATAATAAATTATACTTATTCCATAATGTTGCAATGACGATGAACACGAGCTATGCGATTTCCTCGAAGAAAAGGGTCCTGATCACTGATCAGAGTGCCTAGAGGCGGGGTGTGTATACTAAATAAACACGCGCGCGGCATAACACTTTCCCAAATAGGTATGAGCTATGAGCTCCATCTTAAGCCTTCAGGAAGCCATCCTCAACGACGCATTCAACCCCAATCGCCAACCGGAGTATTCGGAAGTCCAGGAGGCGTATTGGCATTCTGTACTATTATTCAGAGGAGCTCTGGTCTGATTCGCAGTATACTATGGCTTCACATTATGCGCAATTTGATAATACATTATATATTGCGGTTCAGAGCACCGATACGGTTTAGTGTTTGTTTTATTACTAAAATCAGCTAACCACTTGTCGCACCAAACACTGTTAATATCTTCGCCCGTTTCGCTATAAATTCATGTTCTACTAGTTCCAAATACTCGTTCATTGAAAACGTATTCTAGTTGCACATTTCAACCAATACCTCTTTATAGTTCATTTTAGGGCAGTTTGAGAACCTTGATTACACACCAACAACAAAAAATATACTTTTCTTGCAAAGGTAACAATAAAAACACACTTCTTGTAAGTGTAACCAAAATTTTCTCCCGCGCGATTTGACATTCTTTCTGAATCGCAGTATAAATTTGCTAAATCGCAGTATAATTTGTCTGAGGCACACGCACTTTATAGAAAGCCATTATATACAGCGTTTCAGAACTCTAATAGTACATTATATATCAAGGTAGAGAAGTCCACTATTATTGCCTGAGCACCAAGATTACATCTCGAGGCGCTTGCGCCGAGGGGTGTAAGGTGCGAAGGCAATAATAGACTTCTCTACCGTGGTATATATACTATTTTTTTCACTACTAGCACTTGAAATCCTCTAAATTAACATATTATATTGATAAGAAAGGGAACGGTTGGACAGAATTTTTTGTTTCTTAATTTAACATGTCAATCAAGTACGTAGAAGTACAAGTCAAACAGGCCGTATTTTGTTCTGTCATTGAGATATTTTCAAAGAGTAATTTCGTTCGAATTTTTTCAAAATGTGATAATTTTAGGTATGTAATTTCTCTGGAAATTGCGAATGGTGGCAATTATTCGTTTTAGAGAACTTGTCTAAACGTTCATTGAGCGAAATTTCGGGTTGTGTTTTCTAAAAGTGACAGCGTGACAGTTCTCATTATTGAGTACTACTAATTAATAATAAAAAATTATTAACCACTTTGAACAAATGCCGAGAAAGCCTACTTTACAAGTGGAAAAAAGGTTAATAATCATGTCATCAGACGCTAGTAGTGAAATAGTACATTATATATCAAGGTAGAGAAGTCCACTATTATTGCCTGAGCACCAAGATTACATCTCGAGGCGCTTGCGCCGAGGGGTGTAAGGTGCGAAGGCAATAATAGACTTCTCTACCGTGGTATATATACTATTTTTTTCACTACTAGCACTTGAAATCCTCTAAATTAACATATTATATTGATAAGAGAGTTAACGGTTGGACAGAATTGTTTGTTTCTTAATTTAACATGTCAATCAAGTACGTGGAAGTACAAGTCAAACAGGCCGTATTTTGTTCTGTCATTGAGATTTTTCAAAGAGTAATTTCGTTCGAATTTTTTCAAAATGTGATAATTTTAGGTATGTAATTTCTCTGGAAATTGCGAATGGTGGCAATTATTCGTTTTAGAGAACTTGTCTAAACGTTCATTGAGCGAAATTTCGGGTTGTGTTTTCTAAAAGTGACAGCGTGACATTTCTCATTATTGACTACTAGTTAATAATAAAAAATTATTAACCACTTTGAACAAATGCCGAGAAAGCCTACTTTACAAGTGGAAAAAAGGTTAATAATCATGTCATCAGACGCTAGTAGTGAAAAAAAAAGTTTAAACCATATCGGTGCTCTGAATCGCAGTATATAATGTATTATCAATTTGCGCATAACATGAAGCCATAGTACACTGCGAATCATACCAGAGCTGCTCTGCCTCTGAATAATAGTACAGAATGCCAATAGGCGAGTAGCGAATATTGCACTCCAGCGCCTCCACACAACGACTCTGACATTTCGTGAGGTGAAACAAATCTTTGATCGCATTCTTTACCATGCATGATAAATAAAAATTCGGCCTTAATGAGTGGTTTGTAGCAGTCCGTACAATTTAAGAGATTAGAGATTGTTTAATTATATTAAATTTCGTTCCTAAATAGAGACTTACGTAAATATTATATGAAACAGTAAAAATAATCAAACGTGCAAATTAGTTCGTGACGTAAACACGATTTCTGACAAGAATTGTCTCTAGAAACACCATTTTATATATACATATATTCTTTGGTGGGTGAAAAGTGGAAAATATCAGGAAACCATCTACACAACAAGTCGGGAGCAAGGAGCCGTTTTACAAGTCATTTAACGCGGGGATCCTTTTTAATAGCTTGATCATAACCTCAAATTGGATTATTGCAGACAAAAGAAAAATTACAAAAAAACGGCCGTTCTGGAGACGAAACTATGTAAAATAATAGCAAAACAGATGTGTACTTACACTCTTCTCACTTTCTTTATCCAATTTCTCTTCTTTGCAACTCATATGGTCTGTTGGGAAAGCTGTAGAATTTTACAGAAGAATCCGTATTTATGTACGAATTACTGCATCCAACAACACAACAAGAAACTCTGGATGAACGAAAAGTGTTTTTCGAAGTCATAATTGTTGTTCTATTTGGAGTAAGCTTGTAAATATTAATACAGTAATAAACGGTCGATGAACTTGTTTCACCACATCTTATGTTAAATTCGCCACCAGACGGCGCCACATCCGAATATACTACTCGCCTATACGCGTCCGGTGGGCTTAGTGCCAGCTCGGGGTTAACGCTCCCCGGTGAATTACTTAATTAATCGGCGAGGATCCCGGTTAAGCAGTCGCGATGTTTGTTTAGGCGCTGGTCTCTCTGAATACACGCCGCCCGCGACTGCCGACGGGCGCGCACACGCCACGGGCGACTGTCAAATTGTTTATAGGGAAACGCATGCATGTGGACTCTCTCTAAACCGTAGCGGGAAGCGTTTATTCGAATCGCCGAATGTCACCCGCCGTCCGCATCAGTCAGTATTATATTCAATATTGACATACGCGATGCGCTTGTGTGAGAGAGACCATGCAGCCGCCGTCGGCCGCGGGTCTTGACGTCACCACCCGTCGCCTGTCGCGTTTAGCCGAAGCCACCGTATGGTGGCTTCGGTCTAGCGGGCCAGAGAGACCCAGCGCCTTACATGACCCTTGAGCGCGGAAGATGTCCAGTCAGACTGAATGCTGTCATGCCAACCGCTTGCGTAGATTACAGACGGACGTTTCTAATGAAAGGTGAGTTTACGTTTACAGTAGATTTGTCGCATCGATTAGTGTCTGTGTCGGGTGAAGTTTTATTATTATTATTATTATTTATTTACAACTGTACATTTTTTTTAAATATTTTTTTTATCGGATTTGTGTATATGCGTAGGTATGTATGCCGGGATGGTTCTCTTTTTCCTGGTGTTTGGCGTAGTTTGTTTCATTGAACCTATCTATGTGCGTACTGCGTAATGAATCATTTCATTCTCTTCAAGTGCACAAAACTAAAAGTAAACTAAGTAGAAGCTTATCTATTTTGCCAGTGTTAGAAATGTGCAAATATTTTGGTTCTACATTATGTAGGTAATGGTCTCTATTTCATTAAGGTCATGTCGTCCTGCGTCCAGTGGAATAGATAAAAAGAGTGCAATCACCTACGCACTGAACATTTTATTAAATAGTTCTTATAATCAATACAAACAACAAGAAAAACAAAATTTAGTTAAATCATATTTACAATAATATTGGTACCAAAAGCAAACATCATACATTTACCTATCAGCATAAACATGTACGTATTATTTAATTTTTATGTGAAACTAACAAGCGGCAGAAGTAGGTATTGCATGAGATTAAAGTTTCTTTTGGCAGTGCACATTTTATATTCATAAACACTAAACTATCCACACAATAAAGCCTCATTAATGTTACTGATTTCAATTATTTTATGAAATATACATTTATTTTAGAACACATAACACATAAGTCAAGCTCTGTAAAGTGAACATTTAGGATCTTTGGTTTATAGTTGACCTACTATTGTATGGTGTGTACAAAATGATTAATTTTAATATATTACAAAATGTGAACAATTAGATTGAATATATGGTAATTCGGTGGTATGTTCTAAGCCATCAAGCTCAGATACCTCTTCCTTAGAGGCAAAACTATTCTTTGCTGATGCAAAATTGTATCATACTGCTTCTAGTAAACAATAGCATGGTCTGTATAACTGGAAAGGTGCTAAACTAATTTTATTCTGAAAAGAAGTGCATTTTGAAAATATTAGCTACAAACTGCTATATGTTCATATTATTGGGCATGAACTAAAAGTAATGCAACCTACATTTCTCTTACTTTACTTAAACTAGCGTTTACTCTTGTCATTTAAACCCTTTCAGTAATTCGTTTCGCCAAAATAATCTGTATACTAAAAACCATGTGAAATATGACAGCCACCAAAATATGCCACGCTATATTGTATTATGTATATGATATTAATGACTAGTACATTTGTTTTCTAACACAATCTCACCCACTGAAATAACACCCTCAGTCTTTTGAGTACGTAAATATCCTATATGCACAGCGTACTTATCTATATATAATTTCAAAGATACAGTTCATACTTGCACTCGTACTTGCATATTAAGCTGTGTGCGTATTTAAAACGTATAGGGCTACCTTCCATGTCTGTATAGAATTTCTGCTTACAATTTCAAACAGTTTTCAAACCTTTGTATATACTTATGCTTCACATGGTTAACAGAGCCTTGCATCTACATTAGTGTAGGTGCTGTTAAGTTGTTTAAAATGCATGTTTGAACATTAACAAAACGTTCATTAACTCTTAACAAGCAGAAACATTTAAACTTACAGAATATTTAGTGCGCACGTAGGTACAGGAGCAGTGTTGAATGAAAAGGCAATCTGTTACCTAAGAATCATGTAATTGTAAAATTTGGACGATTTCTGAGGAAATATGCTTAGTAGGTCTAGAAGCTGTATGGTTGCCATTCCTACATACTGTGGAATTTATTAAAGGTACATAAATTAGACATTTGAGCATGACTAATAATAACACCTATACATCTTCTATACAGTGCGATAAAGTATCAAGCACAAATTATCCGAAAAGCGCGTTATCTTCACCTACACACGAAAAACACGATTGGCGATATTTTTTTTTAATTTTTAGGCAGTACCTTTGCAGCTTTTTTTTTTAAATCTTGCAGCACGAAAACCTTAAACCGAGAGATAACGACAGATTTTGTGCGATGATTGGTAAACGGCTGTCACCGCAATTTTCTCTTTATATAGGTTAAAAGTAACGTATGAACGTATGTTGAGCAGTTCAATTTATGTCGATGTAATTTTTCAATTAGGTATTGACAACACAACAAACAAAAGTATATTAAGAAACATCTGCCATTAATATTTAATACATTGATGATTAATATTGACAGACTTTACAAATCAAAAATTTTTTAGCAATTTTTGAAACATTACATAATATATGCTTTCAAGCGAATTGATAACGAAAAACGTCTGTCAATGTGCTAGCGTCCTATTCTCTCCAATATCATTTTAAAATTGATGGCACACGTTTATTAATAATCAAGTTTTGTTCATTTATGTCTTGTCCTTTTGATTACTTAATAATCAATAAATGTTATTTAGAAAAAATAGATTGGACTCCTCAACAGATCTATGATATACCTATGTGTATACCTACGTTAGTTTAAACATATTAGGTATGTAAAGTACAAATTGCGGTGACAGACTTTTACTAATCATCGCACAAAAGCTGTCTTTATCTCTCGGTCTAAAAGGGGTTGTGTGAAAACAGTTCTACTAGAAATTTTTTGACTGTAGTTGATCAACGCTTAATAATAATTTCCACAGTATACATTACATTTTTTAAATAAGTACTACACTAACGATCAGTTACCTTGATGATATTGTATCTGCTTAACATTTCGCAATTTGTTAAGCAACGAATACAAAATAGTGTATCAATTAGCACATACTTATATGTTAAACAAGTCTTATATGTGGTTAATTATTAACCATAATTTTATTTACAATAGACATACTCTATTAAAGGTATTGACCAGATCTTGTAGTGTCAATCTTCGAAGAATTAATAGTGCATAAAGCGTCATATTTTACTCTATAAAAAAGTGAATATACTTAGATAGAAATTTTCTCGACTCCTTTTTAGAAAAGGTTTGGATAAATAATGTATTGATAACATTTATAATTGTGTAAACTTTTATATACCCTAACACTAATAAAATAGTTTTTTTTTGTTCAGTCTGTAAACAAATTAGTACACTCTTCATTTTGTTTGTTAAGATATATCAGCAGGTAATTTAGATCACAAGGCCATGTTTGTATAGGCCCTTAAATAAATACTCAAAAATAAAAGTCTTTAATATTAAAATGGATGGCATTAGAGGAATAACCACTTCACAAGGAGAACCATTAATAAATTTGATGATAAGAAAATTCCTACTCCAGAATCTCTTATTACACGAATATCATCTTCTTGCAGGAATGGTGCATCTATGACATGTATAATTCCATTCGTACACTCCACGTTTGGTCTAAATACTGGTATTCTGTTACCCTTCCAATGTATTACATACGCTGGAAAAAAATTATGTATGAGCTTTTCATTATATTACAAATGGAAGGCGCTTAAGATAGCACAACCATATTATGATTATGACACAATCTAATACTGTGTTTTCCTTAAATAAGTGGGTTGCGCCATCTTAGGTTTCACTGCTTACTATGATTTTGTCGTTCTTCGACTGATATTCTTAAAGTGCTTCTCAAAGATTGAAGCTCAACCTCTTTACGCGGAACACGCGTTGCGCTGTTAGTTTTATTGGTGGTTAACTTAACCAGTCTTTCCATAGTGTACGGAACTTCCGATTCCACTAAATGTCTTTGCAAGATTTGTTGCGCCTAAAAGCTCGATTCTGAAATATGAAGAGAAAGAACCATATTAAAATCACTTACATAATATCCCAACTCTCGCATAAATAGTTTCTTTACTGTTGATGGTTGAATCAATCGGGCGTCAGCCCAAGCCTTGTCTCTTGGAACGAAAAATGTAAATTTCTTCTTGGTATTATTTAACTGGGCGTTGAAATCTCCGAAGGAGCCCAAATGGAACGTCTCACTGTAAAGAAAATTAGAATTTGTTAGAGTTTTAAATTTTATTAACGGTTTCCATTGAGATAAGTTTATAAATAAGTGTTGTCAATATACGAGTATTATAGTATATTAAGTATGGAGAACGGTAAGGGATTTTTACCGTTCGAAGACAATTGTTTGGAGGAGGAGCGCAGCGACGACTCCAATTATTGTCTGAGAACGGTAACCCTTAACGTTCGACGTGCTTATAACATTTTTTGCGCGATCGGAATAAAAATTATGCAATCATTAGAAATACTACTTACTGAGAAAAGAACGAGCGGAATAAATCGAAATGATCGAAGTGGTATTGTATAGGTACTTATATCACTAGGTAACGAGTTTGTTATTTGTCAAAACTGAAAATAATAAATTCATCAAATTGTGTCTGTAGTTTTCTAGCTTTTATACTTCAGTTATGAGCGATTCCGACAGCGATCTAATAGACGAAATAGAAGAAGCATGGGACATTGGATGTTCGGCGGTAATACCACAAAAGTCAAGGATCCGGTACGAGAATACGTACAACATTTTTAAACAGTGGTGCAGTGAGAGAAATGTAGGTGTTACCGAGAAGGTTCTGTTGGCTTATTTCGTTAAACGAAGTGATAAGCTGAAGAGTCCAGGAAGTTTATGGGCAGAATATTCCATGCTAAAGAGCACAATATTTTTATATGAATCTATTAATATTTCGACATTTTCCACGTTAATTGCTTATCTTAAAAGAAAAAATGTTGGTCATAGACCAAAAAAAGCTCAAGTCTTCACGAAAAATGATATGGTGAAATTTTTAAATGAGGCGCCCGATGAAATATTCCTTATCCACAAAGTAAGTTTAAATTATAAAATTTGTGTCTCCATTATTTGTGTTGCATCTATAGGTAGCTATGATTCTTGGCGTGGCAGGGGCTTGCAGGAGAGAGGAGCTGTACAACATGAAAGTTGCAGATATTGAAGACCATGGAGCCCTTCTTGTAGTAAAAATTCCCAACTCGAAAACAAATATCCAACGGACATTTACTGTAACAAGTCAAGTGGACGACAAAGTTTTCTATTTGGAAATTTATCGAAAATACATTAAACTTCGACCCACCAACGTAGTTTCGGCACACCTGTTCTTAAATTATCGTAACGGAAAATGCAGTCAACAAGTAGTTGGAAAAGGGACGATTGGGAAATGGCCATCAAAAATTGCAACATATTTGAAATTAGAAGGACCGAACGATTATACAGGTCATGCATTTCGGCGCACTTCAGCCACTTTTTTGGTTAATAAAGGTGTAGATGTATTAGGTTTAAAAAGGCATGGTGGATGGAGGTCTTCGACGGTGGCCGAAGGCTATGTCGAAGATTCTCTACAAAACAAAATTGAATTTGCCAATAAAATTTTATGTACTGGTAGTAACAGTGAATTGGAATGTGTCAATCAAAACCATAGCACGTCTTCAAACACCATCTCTATTGCTTCCGGTTCTAATGAAGAACGTATTGTTTATATTGGAAACAACAGCACAAACTGTACTTTTAATATAACAATAAATAAATAAAAATTAAATGTAATGTAAGCTTTGACTGTTGATTTTGAATTTGAATTGATTGTTTTTAAAAAGGCGTCGGTAAGTATTTTTGCTATTCTGTTTTCAGATCGGTAAGTAATTTTGGCGTCGTCGTAATCATAGCAACTGGTAAATTCCACCTACTGTCATGGAAACACCCATGGTAAATAGTCAGAAATGACCGATCGCGCAAAAATATATATTAATATATTCTGTTTGACGTGTTATATTTGTACGATATATTTCATATTAATATTTGTTCTGCTACGACTTCCAGCGCTTTATTTACAACCTCCACTAACTCTAATAGAATTATTTGTATTCCTTTTTTTTTCCTTACTTCAGCATGGGATCCTGTTGGAGTTTATCGTAGACCGTTGTATAGGGTACACCCAACACTCGATCAATAATGTGTATAATTCCATTAGTAGCTGCGATGTTCGCCTGGATGACTGTTGCGTTGACACCACCTCCTTCAACGGTTAATACGCTGTCGTCTCCTGAAGTAGCAACGTTGAAGTACAAATTCTTCCCTGCATTCATAGTAGGGGCTTGATATACCTAAAATTTAAAATAATTAGTTAATAAATCTAGTTCTGTTAATTGCTAATTAAATTGCGATTAGTTCTCATTTGAGAAGAAAACTGTCATGCCTAAAACATGCTTTGGGTATAAGTGGTTTTCTATTTTTAAATATCGGTTTGCTATGAACACCATGACTATATGATGAGAGAGCATAATTTTTCTCACATTTCAATGTATCTTGAAAACAATTTGGGAACAAAACTATACATGAAGCTAACTCCGACCGAGGCTAACTCTTTTTGTTTTCATCAGTGAGCTCACCAATTTCCACAACTCCATTGATCGAATCAATTCTAACGGTTCCACCAATTCTTTGATTGCATAGATCCAATTTCTTTAGTTCAATATTGATAAGGTACCATTATATCCTTAAATACCTTTGTACCGCAGATTTGTTAGATACCTTAGTCTTAGCTTAACATTGAATAAAAAGTTTGTTATTCAATGATCTTAGTCACTATATTCCTTAGATTCCCTGCTTTTCCAACTGAAAGTGTAAGATCTAAAACTTTAAAGATTCCAAAACCTCAAAAGCAAGTTTTCAAGTTCCTTTACTAAGCTTTGATTATGATGCATTCTAGCGATTTAGGCAAATGAATCCGTTAAGCAAATCAGTTCCGTTAAGGTAATTTGTTTAAGTATTCCCAATAATGGAAACTATTTCAATGGTCACCTCATTGATCCCATGCATCAAAGCAGTACCAATGATCTCGCGGATCTCTTAATTTCATACACCCTATTAATCCTACTGATTCCGGATTCGTTACAAACACAAATCCATGTTTAAAAATTTGTGTAGGCAAACTAGTTTAGTACATTTATTACATTTCGAATAATTACAACTCACTCTAATTTCAAAACAAGTTTAGCAACAAACTCGATCAAAACTCTTCAGTTTAGTCAAAATCACGTCACATAGCCTCGAGCAATCATTTTATTTTCATGTAGGTACTGTTACCCCCATCCCCTTAACAGTTCGGATGAGACTAAAATTCAGTACAAACTAACAATTAAGCATTAATTGAACAGGCCACGGGCGTAAGTAAATGCGATCATATAATTCTATGACGAGCACTAGCTATACATATGTATGTACTTTGAATCTAAATACCTGCCTCATTACCTCAAGCTAACAAGCAAAATACGATGAAACTTTAGATTCGCCTATTTACCTTGAACTTAATCCACATAAACGAGTATAAATGATTAAAAAAGGAAAGGTTGTTAAAGAACCAAAAAATGAACTTTTGATAGGTACTCACCTGTCTCTTGTTATTTTTCATTATTTGGTCTTTTGTTAAGCGTTCATCAACCACAAGATGTAAATACAGAATCTCTTGCATTCTCTCCGGACTTCCCAGAACACTTTTTATAGTCCCACGATTCCAGGCCGCATTGCTGGGAGCAAATAGGGTAATAGTTCGAGCTCTTTCTATCGTACGGAGAAAATCCTTTCCCAAATCACCCGTGTCGGCAATCGCCTCCACAAATCGACTTAATGGACCCTCGCCTTTTTCCTATTTACGAAACAAACACTCTTAGACAACATTCTGTTACGACGTGTAGACAAGGCATAAAGCGGACAGTGTTAGAGTGTTGCGTGCGTTAGCGTAGGTAGGTATGTATTATTTTCAGTGAAGGCATTGAATAAAAAATTTTATTCAATGGTGAAGGTTTGTTTGGAAATGTGAAATTTAATATAAAATTGCTCTTTACGTAATTCGTTCTGTTTTACGAAAAGCCGAGCAGGTGACGAAAATACGGGATTTGTATTGGTTAATAACAGGGCACGCTTTCCACAAGAGTTTCGTTCGCAAACAGGAAGATCGTTTCGTATTTTAGTGTAGGCGATAGAGACTCTAGAATTGGCAAACTGGACATTTTGAGGTGGAAAAGAAAAAATTAGTTGAACACGTACGTTCAGTTAGGTGTCAGAAACAACATATTAAAAATCCCACCCCCCAGACCCTGCGCTAAAGGCCCCAGTCACTCCACCACCCCCCAGAAACCGTGTTTTCGCCCTTTTTGGCTGATATCTCGCGATCTATGAGATCTAGATGAAATATTTTTAGCTGAAAATATTTCTCGTGAAATTTCATACAAGGTAGATGCTCAGAAGTTAGCCAAGGTCCTACCTCTTAGCCTAGAAAATTCATAAAAGGAGGCGAAAATCATCAATTTTCGTGGCTTTTTGCGGTTTTTTGCAAATATATAATATGTCCAGTTAGATGTCTTTATCGCCTAGACTATTTGGAATGTGACGATATATTTAAGAAAAAATCTTGTGGGAGAACGGAATTCTTACTAAAGTCACAGATTACTACAACAGATAGCTAACCGAATGCACTTTTCTTAAATGCAGTCTCAATACTACACTGATGAACTCTATTATATATTAGGGTTAAGTATATAGTGTTAATTATTTCACTTGGGCGTCTGTGCTAAAAGTACTATTTTATTTTTCTCCAATACGAGATGGCACTATGACAGTTCACAGTTCTACAAAGAAGTAGTTGTAGTTAATCTGTGCTAAAGCTTTCCAAAAGAATCTATATACCGTTCGAGCGCTACTTTTTTCGATCGCGTATTGATTTTTTAGCCGAAGCGCCGGTGCAAATTTTATAGTTGCCAGCAGAATTTAAATTATTAATATTTGACTGGTTTATACAGAAAGAGACGATCGAACGGTTGATAAAATATTTAACCGTGAATATTGCTATAAACATTACCATATTACGATATTAAGATTTTTCATTTCGCATTTACATAAATTGTTATTACGAAAGCGTTTGGGGTCCAAGGTGCACAACATTCCGTTGCGCCATATTTGTAGTAGCAAGTTACTAATTTATTGTTGTGCATCCAATTTGTTATATGAAGTGCGAACAAAAAATCGAACAAACCCGCTACCGGTAAAAAGGTTAAAAACAATTAATTTAAGCTTCTGTTTGCTGGAAAAACGCTAAGTTACAAGGGTACATTTTTAACACCTATACATTGCGGAACAACGGTAATTTGTGAATAACTTAAAGTTCAACCAACCAAAGTAAGCCTGAAGCACGATTTATATCTGAATTAAATCGCGTCAACTATTAATAATTTTTGACAACCAACCCAATTTAACTGGTAATTCAAGAAATCCATTCGTATTGCCTAGACGTTACACTATCCAGTTTTCCAAACGAGAAATCTCACTGATAAATAGAGAAAATTTCAACACATCGATAAAAGTAAGTAACTGAAATTGGAACGATCGTATTTGTATTAATATATTCAAACAAGTCAACTTATGTGAGTATTTATTTAAGAGTGATCACACCAGAGCGACAGGTTGATGTTGATAACTGATAAGTGATAACATAATTTACACTAAAATGAGAACGAAAAATTGGCCTGGCTTTTCAGTACAGGATTTTAAAGAAAATTGCAATATCTTTGGATTTAATAAAACTCAAATTTCATTAGGTGCAATTCCAAAATAATCATTTGTAAGATACAATTAAACGCCCTACAGACGCTACGACTTATCGTATGATGATAAGTCGTATCAAACATCGTTTCAACTTGTCGTAAGACATAGGTCATTCCCTACAAATGGACACGATAAGTCGATTGTCGTTCAGACAGTAGTATCGATCCAAAGTCGTACGACAAATCGTACCGTGTGTAGGACGTTTTAGTCAAATGTATTTCAGATACTTGCAGATGAAATTTTAACCTTCATATTTCGCCTGTTGGTAGATGTAGCATATTACAGTAGCCATAATTACTGGTGTCCCGAGCAACATTTTACAAACAAAAACATCATTTTAGGTAAAACCAGTCTCCTTAAAATCGACGGACAGACAGACAAGACATTTCCATAATGCGTTTGCAAACATTACAAAATACATAAACGGTGACTTTTGTCTGTTTGCCGATGATCTAACGGTACTGTCCTGTGGCAATACTCATAATGTGGCTTTAAATAATCTAAATGCTTGTCTTACTAAGTTAATGTCATATTTAATTACCAACAAGCTAATCTTGAGTAGTGATAAAACACGTGTAATGCAAATCTACCCTAAAAAAGTGCAATATATTGCAAGTACTCTGATTAGAGTACAACAAAGATCCATTAGGCAAGAAACATTGTACAAACTACTAGGCTGTAACATTGATTGTTCTCTAAGCTGGAGAGAGCACGTTGATATGGTGTGCAATAAAATAACGTCTAATTGCTTTGCTCTTAAACGTCTGTCATATATTTCAAATGTTAATGTAGCTAAAAATTTTTACCACTCCAATGTTGAGTCTATCATGCGCTACTGTGTCATTTTCTGGGGTGACAGTATACATAGCAAACGAGTCTTTGTGATGCAGAAAAGAGCAATCAGATACATGTTTAATTTAAGTAGGGACACATCATGCCGTAGTACTTTTATATCTAACGCTTTGTTAACTTTTCCGTGTATCTATACATTTGAACTGTTGAAATTTGTTAAATGCAATATTAACCAATTTCCCTCTTTAAATACATACAAAGATCATTCTTTGATACATACCATAACTATAATACTAGACGTATCGAATTGACGTATACGCAACATCGACTAGAACTATTTAAAATGAATCCCTATTATGCTGGTGCGGTTTTATATAACAAATTACCGCTGAATCTTAGACATTTACCGTTCAGGCGTTTTAGTTTAACACTCAAAAAATTTTTAACTGTAAATTGTTTCTATAGTGTTAATGAATTTATGTCTTATGTTAATATTGATTTAGAACCTTAATTTTTGTTGTAGTTGTATGTATAATCATATTGTTTGGCCTTTGACTTGTCCTATATCCGTTTAGGATCTTTTGGATAAATATATTATTATTATTATTATTATTATTATTTAATAGAACAAACTGGAACAACCAAAAGACCACAAAAAAAACCAAAAAAAGACACTTCAATATGTAATGTTTGCTAAAGCGCCCTGTAAGTATAATTTAAAAAAACGCGAAGTGAAATATTAGATTCAGGGTATAGCACTGTTCTTCTATTCTAACTTGAGACGGGTTAATGATAGAACCATTGTATAGTTAGATATAAATTCAATTATGGAAATGTACCTATGTATATATATATTTCATGCAGGATATAAACATTTACAAGTGGCGTAAAAAAGTGAAGTGGAAGTAAAAGTGTAGTAAGTGTAGAAAGAGTGAAAGTGCTATCATAAGTTCCAAATTAAACTTTACCTTAAACTGGAATTGTAGCGATTCCAAAAGGGAAGGCAGGAAACAACCCGTGAATATACAAACAGTAAGGGATATAAAAATTATATCACCACAATAACAGCATTAAAAGCTGCAGTCAAATTGCTCATCATTGTTTTTACATGCCATTCTTTTATAGTCAATAATGCGCGAAAGTTAGTCGTTTTACCGACAATCATGATCATGCTGAAGAAATAGCAATTTGTCTGCTCCGACTCAAGAAGAGATACTATAGGTGCTTATACTTAAGTATTTTTTTTTGAGAAAGTGATTACAGGCTAGTTGACTAGTACAACTACAGAGAGTACTACATACAGAGAGTACTACAAAGCGCTAAAGGTGCAGTTATAATGGTAAAAATGTATAGCGAAGATGCAAATTGGATGCCACGATCGTCACTTGTATTTAGTGTAGTAGTGATATGAAGTATATAAGTCGTTATGGTTTTGAATATTAGTTTAATTTTGTATGTTAAATTCTATGCAACGTGCATTTAAACTATCTATACTTGTATGTATTTAGTATCGATCAACATGAAACACAACCCTTTAACCATATCTGTCTAGTCTGTATTGATTGTTGAAATAAACTCACGCAAAGCTATAAGAAAGTAGTGCAAGCATGCGTTTTGTGCCCTCTTGCCCCGGGGGGTAAACTTGCGACAACCAAATTGAATCACTTCTTCCCATGAGGCGTTTTTGAAGCGCTGCAGAGTGGCGCGGCGGATTAGCAGAGTATGCGATTGTGTGGCGCGTCCTTGCTGCGCTACTGTGTCGCGGGCGTCGGCAGGTGACAACCGCAAAACTGAAATAAAATAGCTGGCACTTCCAGTGTTTCGAGATGTCGCTCTCATTAAACAAGACGCCATTTTTTTTAAAAAATGGCGGCTTCACTCGGTACGTGCGCTAGTTTTCCGTGCAACAAACTTGTTTTGCCTAGCGTGGTGGAGCTTCTGAATCGCACCGTGTGAAAGGGTCGCGCTACCAGCCGCACGCGTTTGTGTAGCGGACTGTCTGCTTCTGCTACAAATCCCGCAGACGCGCCTCTTCGTGTGAAGGCGTTCATATAAAACAATGTTTCACTGCTAGTGTCGCCACCTTGCAGTGCTTCAAAACGCCTCGAGAGAAGAGGCTCTTAGTTGTGTTCTGTTCTATTATATACACACGGATGAATGAACGACCACCCCAACATGCCGACTTTTTGACGTTATTGATAAAGTTGCTTGAGATACTCGCACTACTTAATAAGTATAATTAAAGAATTGTCTCACGTTGTAGACTACTAGTTATACTGGATTGAGTAACAGCTAAATTACCCTCACTGTAATAAGTGCCTACGTAAATTGTCAAAGATTTAAATGTGAAAGTCCATCAGTAGATACTTATTCCACAATTGGAATGTAACCAATACTCAACAATCATGAATGATTAGATTAAATTATATTCATTTTGAGATAGTTCATTTTAACTGACCTGTAGAAACTGATTCACAGTAGTGTCAACAACCATCAGCGGTTTTTGAATTAAGTGTATAACACCATTTTCGACTGGAATGTTAGGTTTAACTATTTCGGAGATCACAACACCCGGGCTATGTCTTGCATCCCCTACTCTTGTTTCGCTTTTAATATACACTGTAACGAATATCCTGAGATTTTATAAAACAGACTATAAATACGTACCTGCCTCCGTTTTGTCATTAGGTTCTTGAAAAAATGTGATATACACCTTTAGATTGTCACCATTTGCTGTAGTTTCGAATGCTATGTCTCTATGCGTTGGTGCTGTGAAGAGGACTTTCTTCGGTATCAGATGCCCATCTATAGTTTTGTTATCAATTAAGTCTGAGTGCAAGATCTAAAAGGAAAAAAATGCAAATACTCGCGTTAGCTCGAGGACTGAGTTTACACTAATTGATCTACTAAATTTTCGCTAAAGCAAAGTGCTGCAGACCTTTCTTTCATGTTTCAGAAATAGAACTTTCATATTTCACTCGATATTTCACAGTTAAACTTATTAGCCTCCCACCTGAATGTACATCAGACAGACACCAGCTGGATTTAACAGTAACATGAAAGACTGGAAATGAATAGCTATATTTTAAAGCAGATTAATTAGGCACTATTCAATAAAAACGTTCGAAATTTGCAATCTACTTACTCCCTCATCTATAGGTATAAAGAAGGTATGAGTGCCCATGTTTCTAAATACATCTTGTTTCTGAAGCTGTTGTACACGTTGGCGAAAATTTCTAAAATTATTTACGACAGACATCACTACCGCTTTGATATTAATTACCTTACCTCACTCGATATGGATTAATATCCAAAGTTTCAAACTGACTAAGAAAGTCCAATGCATTTGGTTTTGCCAATCCGCTTGCTAACGTTCTAGGAGATGTTGTGGGGACTAGTACCTCGTCTATTTTATGAACTACCTGAGTAACGCATACATTCTAGATTGATTTTGCACTAGTACGTATTAACCACGGTGTAAAATAATAAGAGGTGAAGGTATGAACTCCTTAGTTTTAGTAAAAGTTGGTATACAGTGAGTCTAGTCGATGCAATGTAAGAGAGACAGGAAGCAACAGGTTCCATGTATCACACTATCATGAGCGGTGTTTTCCTTTTTATCAAATTTTCAAACCACAACTTGATTCAAAATGCAGGGTAAACAGAAATAGATATATTGTAGGAGACTCAAGTTCTTACAAAAATGGAAGCCCTTAATTCTAAGAAGAAAAAAAAACAAGAAGGACAAAGAAAACCTACCGACGCGACACTAGTATAGTCACTCAGTCAACAATGGTGCGCACGAACCCGTTCACAAATATATTGTAGGATTTGTAAGCCTACCTCTTTAATGACGGCGCCGGTTGACAAAAGGACTCCTCGAATTCGATGTTACGCCTTGGTGGTGAGGATCCTCTCGAACAAAACTGCGGCTTCCGGCACTATCGCAAGACCTCTCACTTTGTCGCGCACACTGGCACTTTGATTCGCGGTCTTCGGAACGTCGCGGAAATCACAACCAGCGCTTATACGCTAAGGACCGCTGTATACGCTTCAGCGATCTTCTACGTTCGCTCCCCTCGAAGGCTATTATGGCCCATTCAAAGAAACCACCGCCGCTTTCCGCCACACGTAATATATCGGGGTGTCACTGACCACAATTCGTCGCACATGTCCATGGATTCTTTCGGGCGGAGGCGTAACATAATACAAATTCTAAATATATACCTCTCGCCAGGAAAGATTGCCGGTCACAGAAGACCTGATCCCGGTCTACAATCTGTGTTTTTCTAAAGATGTGAGGGACTTCCGGGATAAGATCGGGCCAATGTTGAACGAAAAGTCTTTTCATTCAACATTGGCACGATCCTATTCCGAAAGTCGCTCGCATCTTAAAAAAAACATACATTGTAAATTGACACAAGGTGTGCTGTGACCGGTAATCTTTCCTGGCGAGAGTTATATCTCACCTATACTTATTTAGAGTCCTACTAGTAACCAGTGCGTTACAACAGCAAATCTATCATTAGCGAACAACCGATGATGACAACTTGAACTCTTAAAGCATTGCTGTTGAAGCGTGTTCGATATTTTGATTTAGTGGTTTATTGGTGTTGATTTTTTACTTTCTGTAAGACCTACAAATAAAGTTTCTGAATAATAAACATTTAAATATGAGAATGCCGTAATGCCTTTGAATGCGCAAATGATAGACCAACCTACTTCAGAAAATTTGGTGCTCTAGAATTTATCTTCTACACATTTTTCGAATGCAATTCGGTTTCTCTACATATCTGAAATAAATGCGCGCGATTGTGATTTTTGTAAGAACACTTCATAGGGCTCTACTAGCGAAGGTGTGATAGAAGAATCTACTTTTGTCGTCCCTTTCTTACGTTGGACGATTTCGAAATTACTTTACGATTGAAAAGGAGCAGTTTATAAAGCTCTATCCATTTTACACCGTGGTTACTTGAGGATATATACTTACGCACCTGTTCTTTTCCATTGTTTTTTGCCTTAATATTGGACAAATCTTGTAAAATTTTTGCGTTGTTAACATAAAGTTCGTTGCCGTTTGGATCAGATTTAGTCGTTATCCACAGAGGAGGATGGCCTTCCAATTCCGTGTTAATATGAGTCATCGTTGCCAGCTGGTCAGTGGTTTTAGCTAGACTTCCTGAAAAATAGAGAACCACTGATTAGCATATATTAATAGAAAGTTGTAAAATTATTCGCCGATCTTTCATGTTGTATCTAACAGTTACTTTCTATACACATAAATTTATTCACATAGGAGGGTATTTACCACATAAGTTATAAAATAAAACTAACCCCTGTAAATTTAACACTGAAGGCTTGCTTTCCAATTGTTCGTTTCACGTTTACCATAATTTTATAGTTCATTGTCTAAGTAGGAACAGATCCTCAAAAATGCGTTGGTCATGTCATCTTAGATTCAATTTTTGCTTTAGATCTTGATATCCGTTTATTAAAAGCATGGTGTGTTCCGGTATTTGTTTACCGTTACCTATGAGTTATTGTTTTGTGTTTATGTGCCCGTGATAATTGGAAATGTTATTTACTCATTAATTAGTCATTTCATTTATGAAAAAGTAGATTATCTAGTGTGAATTGCCCTGTATGTTGCAATTAATCGTTTCTTCCGCGGGGAAAGAATCTAATGACATTCATTTTGTACGACGGCATCTAATTCCTTGTCTGTACTTGTTACGGGCTGTACTTGGTATACACGAGCAGAGTGGTCCCGTAATTAATTCTCCTTCTCTTATGTATGTTATTGTTTGTGCGATATTCGAATATTGTCTTGCATTTTCACCTACACCCTTTTTGTGGCCAATTAGACCCACCGATGCTGGAACAGAGTCATGCCTGCTTGTCTAAATTGAACAGTAGAAGTCTTTTGTATTTATTTATTTATTTATTTATTGTTCCTCTTATATACTTTTTCGGCCTCGATTACTTGATTTTTCCTTGTGCCGTTTGAGATGTTTGCATTTTGCATTGCTCTTTATACATTTATTTCCGTAATTGATTTATTGATTGTACACCTATGTATGTCGGACGTCGGTGCATACGTGCTTTTTGTTTGGTTTGTTTTTTCTTCTGGCTTTCTAGTGTTGGTTTGCTTCGCAGAACGATACCACGTGCATAATAAAATTTCATTTTTCTTGTCTTTTCTGTCCGACAAAACTAGGGATTTTATTTAACTCCTTTTCCGAATGTGCCTAACATCCCAACCCAACACTTCAAACAACTGGTCATAGAATAACACAACGCAGGATCCACTCAGTACGAAACAACCCTAATAGAGATTCGAAAGTGACGCGAAAGCCTGTCATTCCGATATAGAAGTTAGATGTCGCTGCTTGTAATTTCTTCCGCAGAGTGTTATCGGCGATAAGAAAATACATGTTTAATTTCGAAGATGTAAATTCAAGTAGAGTTGAGACGAAAAGTGAGAGAGGTAAGAAGGTTTTAAATAGCAGAGGAAGACGTGAATCGGAACTTGTTTGGTGTGACGTTAATCGTTGTTTTTTTTTTGGTTTGATAGACGTTGAAACGTAGCTGCCTATTAATTAGTGATTGACAATTTTACCGCATTTGAGCGTACAATTGCAAGACAGTCCGCCAGTTGTAAAATTTTTAAAGAAAAAAAAGTTAGTGAGTGTTTCAATTTTTATTACGCCGTTTAAAGTTAATATTTAAGTCGGATTAAAGAAGTGAAATTTACTAAGGAGTTAGTCGAAGTGTATCAATCAGTTATCGCTTATGTGAAGCCTTTCTCAGTATCCGTTAAAGGGAGTTTTTCCCCCATCAAAGAGCCAATATTACATCTGAAATTACAAACGAACCCAGTGTCGTTTAAATCGAAATTTGAGTGCAGGTCAAGAAGTGAAGTTCCCGAAGTACCACCAGTTGATTTTTGCGTTTTTTTTTGTAGGTCATTTAATCAAAATCACCATTCTCTACGACCGGATATTTTGAATTATTAACTCGTTAAGGTATTTAAGATTTCTTTAATTAACCTGTGTGCTTCTCTTTGTTTCAGATTATTTCGTTAAGCGAAAGTGAAAAAAACATGTGGTTCGAATATTGCAATATCCAATTATTAATATATCTCTGGCGATTGCATCTTGATCCCCTTGATTTGGACGGGGTTCTGCAATTTTCTCCGACAGATGGAGGATTGATGCGGATTTCCTTTTCACTTACTTATCAAAAAGAAAAACACTGGGGAAGTCGAATCTGTGGTCAATTGTTACGGTATTTTCATTTGTCACACGTATTATAGGCTAATTTTTGGTTTTAACTTTTTACATAAGCTGCTACACAATTTACAGTCCCACAACATTCCTTTCGTAATACTCTTACATTTCATTGTAAAAATGCTAGAACCAATTTACTATTAAAATCGCCTGTTTTATTCGTATGTAATAATTTTAACGGCGTTGCAAATGAATGTGATATACATTACAACTCTTTTTTCGAACTAAAAAACATTCTAGCTAAACTATAAGCACGCAAATTCAATTCAATTTGTAATTAACTTTCTGATTTTTTTTCTCTTGTCCATGTAACGAAATTCCAAGTTTTATTTTTGTTTATTTCGCAAAAGCTTTATGTATTCAAATTTTGTTTTTTCATTTACCGCAAACGTTGTTTATTTTATATATGTAATTTAGTAGTCATTGTAGCTATTAGTTAAATAATATTTGTTAATTATCCATGTATTTATTTCTAAAAGATGTACTTTTTTGTCTGTACGTTTTTTTGGTGTGTCCTATAATTGGAGGTTTCTCTGTTGGGCATTAAATCGCTATTATTATTATTATTATTATTATTAAGTTTTGTCAGAGCAGATAATTATTATTTTGCAGCAGTGTCATCCTCTATTTACCAATCATTTCTTTAGATTTCTTTCGTTATATTAATGTCTTTCAGGAACTGTATTAACTTTCCAAAGTTATTTTCTTTTAGCATCATAGCAAGTTCTCCCTCAATTTTGTGTTTTACTCTATACTCATTTAATTTCTCACATTCTTCTACTACATGCTTTACGGTAAGTACTTTTTCTTTACATTGTGGACATTTGGGAGCATCTCTTCCTAAGACCAGATACGAATTATTATTATTATTATTGTCTTACGAGTAGCCTTATTTAATTGAGGGCTCCATCTTAAGGTCAAATCGTTTTTAAGTTCTGTCCTGAAGGCCGGATTCAGTATCCGATTAAATTCTTTCCTGCCATCTGTACCGTATAAGAACGGACACCAGTTCATTATCAAGAACCCGAGATAACAAAGGGGCGGCCATGCTGTCTACTTCGAACGAGGTCATTGGGTCACCGAAAATTAATTATAAGAAAACACCTCTAAGGGGGAAACTTTTTTTTACTGGGATCTAATAAACTTCCATCGATACTTGATCGACTTTGCACTCGGTATTAACATAGATGTGAGCCTGAAAAGAAAGACCAGATGTATGCGATATTAAACTTCAATTACAAATAATTAACATTTTGGCCCTTCAGGCATCATTCAGCAATAAATAAGTCACGTAGTTCGGATTCGGAATGGGACGTTTCGCACCGAAACGACGGCGCGCGCCCGAAATGTCCTAGACCGCACGAAGTTAGATACGTGGATTGTTGCTTTTTCCGCCTGGAATCGCATCGATGGACGGTGTCGTCGACCATTACATTTACTCAAGATAAGATTTTGTTTTATAATTACATTACTTGTGCTCTCACTATCGAAAGAATTATTGTCCGATAACACATTGATTTGTGGAGAGATTTGTGATAAAGTTAGTCTAATCATTTATATTCGATGATTATAGTATGGGGGAGAATTAACGGCGTATTTCATCAAGTGGGGTTTTTGGTACTGTTTATACTTGAGAATATTTTTGTGGGAAGTGTTGGAGAAAGTTCATTGATTTTGGAGTATTTTGTATTAAATATAATAAACCAATATTTCTTTCGTCAAGGTGGATGATTACTTTCCCTTGTAACTTCCCAGTTTCATACAGGGGGAGACGATAATGGAGAAGCTGGGTGACATTCAAATTTGGATAAGTTCCAACGAAGCCGAAAAGATACGCCCAGCATGAACCATCGCTGTACAGTTTTTCATGTTTCTTTTTTTCATTTATAACATCCATGAACAGACCGTTTATTCTGACAGTTTTTTTTAACACAGCGCCAACTTAACTCACCGTTATAGATTCTAATACGGAATTTGAATTAAAATTTGAAGTATTATAAGACAATGAAAACGGATTTAGGTTTTTTCTTCAATATACATAATGATTTGAGACCTCGAGGTTAATTTTGTTATCGGAAATCAAATAGAAGCAAGAGTGCAAAAAGTTTATAAGACTTCAGGTAAACAGCAAAAAGTCCACTTGCATGAAAGATAATTGCAATAAAGATTAATAATCATGAGCTAGCCGTCTGCATAAATGTTTTACAAGCAGGGATCATCAAATTAGATTTTGTAATTACGCTTTAGGTACATACCTACTCCATAACAGATGCTGTTAATAGCAACACGTTGGCGGCTGTTATGCCTTAATTAACTAAAACGACGTCAATAAAGGAACTGTTTAACGCCCGTTCACAAATAAAACATACAGGTATACAAGAAAGAATACTTACCCATATGATATAATGTAAGGTAAAACTGTGATTCATCGATCGGTTTGGGATATTTTTGGAATGCTGCGTTAATTGGAGCAAAAACCGTCACTGATTTGTATTCCAATGTAAATTTTGCTTCTGGGTTATTTTTCACCATAAAGCTAAACTGGAACAAAAAATTCGTATTAAACTCTGAAATAATTATATTTCGAAAATAACTATTATTATTTATTATTTTGTGGTCAGTCGAGAATCGAGATTTAATAATGCGATGTGTGAATTGCTATTTCAGTACGACAGTACTACATACCTAATTTACATTATACTTATGAAGATTAAAATACATCTCTTCTCAAACTATAAAAGGTTTTAAGAGTACCTACTCATCGCTGCGTAAGCTACTTAGTTTCAAGATCAATACGTGTTATCGGCGAAGTAAACAGATGTTCGTTCGAAGGAGGAACGGAGGCGAAAATAGTTATTTACCTAACAAGTTCGGTAAGTTAATTTTCCCGCATGAGCACTTTGTTTGCAGCACGACCGTAGGGAGTGCTGCATTTAGTGCGAATGCGGGAAAATTCTTTCCGAAAGAGTTAGGTACAATATTTTTTGTAACGAATTGCGTAAAAAAAGGTCAAAATTAATAAAGTTTTGTAAATTAACTTTTTTTTAATCATGAGTTGGTAACACAATCATATGTTTGGTTGGTAACATAATTTTGTAACTACCCACTTTTAATAATGCACTGGTCACATTTAAAACTTCCACATCTTTGGTTAATACATATTTTGCCTTTGCAATGAGTGCTACTGATCACGGCATTGCATCGTTTGCACTGAATATCTTGAGTTGCGTAAATACACTCGTTACATTTAAAATCGTTGGAAGCTTTGTGTGTGTTAATATGTGCTTTCTTAAACTGCATATGCGAATAGTTGCAGAATATCACTGGTCACATTTTAAGACGTTTTAACAATAAGTTTTACTTTTTCTTGAGTTCCAATTCTGAAAAATAATTTGATTGCGTTATAAGTTCTTGTTTATATATTTGCGTAAAACTTAGTGTACGTCTGTTTCCGATTAATCGCACTAAATACCCTCAACCAACGGTTTAATTGATTTTACAAGATGACAGTTAACCATGACATGACGTTCGTTGACTTCAATAAGTACTACCAACCGAAGAACGCGCATAACCCCTTCTCTCCAGCGGAAACTAAAAAACACCGCGATGCGGGAAAGTCGTTTTCCCGTGCATCGAGGATGCTTGGAAACATTATCTTTCCATTCAATGAGTACAAAAAAGAATTTTTTTTAATCGATCGCTTGGTGCGTGGTGTGTTATCTGGCCCGGAGTGCCATCCGTTTTTTCGGCTGATTTGATTGATTGATGTTGAATAAATTTGCTTAATCTGTAAATGGTTAGTTTTGCTTAATTGAGCCCAAATTACGACCTAGTGTAACGGTCCTAGCGGTTACAGGCTACTCTTATCCTCTTCGTAACCCTAAGGACTTCTAAAACCTCCCTTCAACATAACCTCCTGTTCATCAAGACAACCTGTGTATGTTGGGTTGCCTACTTTCAGGAACACAGAGAGATGTTCTGGGTAGCTCGATATCGGAGATATTCTTCACAGTGGAGGACCTGGACCTCCGATATCGAGCTACCCAGAACATCTCTCTGTGTTCCTGAAAGTAGGCATGGAGGACTTGGATCTCCGATATCGAGCTACCCAGAACATCTTCCTGTGTTCCTGAAAGTAGGCAACCCGGCCTCCACTATATTAAATAAATAAAGCTTGGTAGAATATAAGTAATATAACGAGTAATATAATGATTTGAAAATATATACACAACTTAACTAAATATTTACAATTGCACAGGAACTATTTTTTTTTTTTTTTTGGCTTGGACCAGTGGTCATTCAACAAGCTACGTTATGTATTAATGTTTTTTAATTTACAAAGTTATATTGCCATTTGCTAAAAATTCTATTAAACATGAATAAGCGTTTTTGTTATTATATGCAAGAATTGACATAACATTGTACGGACCCGATATTTTCCTTGCTACCAACTGTTGACTCAACTGTTTTTGCTGCTTTTCAAATTTTTTGCACTCAAAGAAGATGTGGTCTAGACTTCCGACCATTCCGCAATGCTCGCATGCACTATTTGGTAGAACGTTTATCCTAAAAAGGTGTTCAGGGTAAGCTGCATGTCCAAATTTCATTCTGGCGATCGTGGTTTGAAATCTTCTCGGTAGGTGTAAATGTGTGTGCCAGTGTTCTTTAGGTAGTGTAGGGTGCAACATTGTGTATCGCCTTGGGCGATTGGTACAAAATTCCTGCCAGTCTGAAGCCCACAATGAAAATAAATGCGCTTTCCTATTTGAATTAAAATCACACAAAGGTATTTGATAGCTGCCTTTGTAAGTGTCAGATTTGGTTGGCAACCGAGCGAGTTTGTCCACTTGTTCATTATTTCGTAACCCTATATGTGATTTTACATAAATAAAATAGATTAGAGTGTTTTTTTGTTCCAAGCAGTAGATCATTTTTTTTATTTTTAGAATGAACGGGTTTGTTTTTGTAATTTGTAAGTTGAGGCTTTGAAGGTTTTCCAATACCGATAAAGAGTCAGATGCTATAACAACCTTACTATATTTGGCATCTTGTATAAAGCATAGGGCCTCGTATATTGCTATTGCTTCCAAGCTGAAGATTGAAAGTTGTTCCTTTATTCGGTAGAATTCTTGTACATTTTTTGAAGGAATATAGAATGCAAAACCTGCACCACACGATGTTTTGGATGCATCAGTATACACGATCACCGCGTTGTCCCATGCAGATAAGGCTTTTGCAAGAATGTTGTGATTTATGTGTATATCTTGATCATATTGGGGTTTAACAAAGGTTATTGGATTGGAGCGCAATGAGATCCCTAAATTCATCAATTTTTTCTATATTGTGAACTTTAATTAGTTCCTCATAGCATTGCTGAACTGCTAGACAAAGAGGCGGAGAATTTTTCTTTTTCCAGTAGTCACTGACTAAATCAAAAGTATTTAGTGTGATTATGTTTGAAAATAAGACTTTATTTAAGAGATAAATTTTTGAGAGGAATTTTTCACTAAGATATGTTCTTCTGTGTTTTAACGGGGTTTCACAGGCTTCAGCGTAAAGTGGATAGATAGGAGTTGATTTCATTGCACCCAGACAAATGCGTATGATTGTATTCTGATACACGTCGATTTTTTTTAACAAAGTACTGCTAGCAGACCCATACAGCGTACATCCGTATTCTATAACTGAGCGTAAATATGCTCTATAAAAGAGAAGAGCCACTTTGATGTCCGCTACCCACCACGTTTTTACTACCATTTTAAGAAAATTTAGACCTTTATTACATCTGTTGAGCAAGTGTTCAATATGAAATTTCCATGAAAGCTTTTCGTCAAGTATCATTCCCAAATATTTTATTTGCTTGTGTGTTTTAAAATCTCCTTTTGACAAGGCAATAGTGTTATTGTTGGGTAGTCTATGTCTAGTAAATATTACAATGGCCGACTTGTTTATTGAAATTTCAAACCCATTTTGAAAGTGCCAAAGATATATTTGAGTGAATATAACATCGAGTGTCGGCGTTAATTTATGGTACTTGTGTTTTTCTGTATAGATACACACATCGTCTGCATATTGAACGACTTTGAAATTAGTTCGGGGTATTTTGATGTTGTGTAAGTCCGTAGTGTACATATTGAAAAGTATAGGGCTTAGTACTGAACCTTGCGGTACGCCAACATTAGCGAAACGAGGACCAATATTTTTATTTTCACTGTTTCGCAAGTATACTAACCTATTTCTAAAAGTTTGAACTATCATGTTGGTGAGCTGCAATGGGATATTGAATTGCTTAATCATTTTGTCCATTAGTATTGGAAGACAAATTGTGTCGTAAGCGCGTTCGATATCTAAGAAGAAAGCAGCCAAATAGTTATTCCTTGAGAGATTATTTTGAATATCTACGGTAATCGTTGTTAAAGCGTCTAATGTACCACACCCTTTTTTATAACCGAATTGGTTTAAAGGTGATAAATTTTGCTTGTCAATCCACCACTCCAATCTATATTTAATCATGCGTTCCAAAGTTTTATAAATGCAAGTTAGTAATGATATTGGTCGGTATGATTCAGGTAAGTTGGGGTCTTTATTAGGTTTCAGGATAGGAACTACAATAATCTCTTTGAATTGTGGAATTGCCGATCCCGAAGCGAGAACGTCGTTAAATATGCCCAGTAGATATTCTTTTGCAACATCCGGTAAGTTTTTGATCATGGGGTACTTTATGTTGTCGTAACCCGGGGCGGTAGATTTGTTGGCTATTAAGGCTGCATCCAGTTCGGCTCTTGAAAAGGTTTGAGAGAGTGGATGTTTAGAGTGGGCAGGAGTTTCATATTTCTTTAGCTTTTCAGGAGCAGTAGGGGGAGCAATTCTGTCGAAAAACTTTTCGATCCATTCGTCTTGGAGAGGGCGTGGATTCGATTGCTTCTTCCGGAGTAGGGATTTAGCTTGATGCCAGAGACTTGATGCGGAACAGCTTTGATTCAGCGTGGAACACCATTTTATCCAGCTAACCTTAGCTTTTGATTTTAGGAATTTTTTTGTTTCCGCCATAACTTTTTGGCACATAATATAATTCTCTAGTGTGGAATCTGTTTTGAATTTGTGTAGAACGTCGCGCCTTTTGTTGACAACCTCGTCGCAGTTGCTATCCCACCACTTAGCAGGAGGGCGTTTTTTTCGTTTTCCGGGTTTGTACACTGGGATTGATTTTTTGGCAGCGTTGTTTATACATTCCAGTAAAAAGGAGTACTTGCCTTCGGTATCTGATTGATCCCATATTCTTTCTTGCAGAGACGATTCAATACTGTGGGCATATATTTTCCAATTGGCTTTATTGACATTCCATTTACTCTTGGTAAATATTGCAGGGTTATTACAAGTGTTTTCAAATTGTAACATTATAGGAAAGTGATTGGACCCTAGTGTGTCTGGAAATACATCCCAAGTGAATGTGAACTTATTTAATAAATCAGAAGAGCACAATGTTATGTCGATCATCGAGTCATTTATGCCCGGACGATTTAGACATGTGGGTAGACCATTGTTCATAACGATTAAATTTAAGTCGTTTGCCGTTGATATTATTTGTTCTCCGATTGAGTCGTTTTTATGTGATCCCCACACATTATTGTGGGCATTCATATCACCGCCGATTATTAGAGGGCTGTGGATTTGTGAAAAAGCGTTGAACCAGTCTTGATAGATTGTTTTGACGGATGGAGGTCTATAAACGGACAGTAAGTTCATAATATGATTGTTAATGTTCACCGCACAACCACAAATTAATAAGCCTTCATTAAAATCATTTTTAATGTTCAATTGAGCAGATCGCAATGTCATTTTCACAAGAATTGCAACCCCACCGTAGCCGTCATCACGATCCTTTCGAAAGATGTTGTAGCCAGGAAAATTATAAACCGCGTTTTTTTTTAAATAATGGCTGAATGCGACGCAACTTGAAATGTTGACAGAACGGGTCCTTGACCTGCCTTGTTATTTTATTTATCTCTGTAATTTAACCTTGTCAGCATCCAGCATCAAAACCGGCAGGTAGTGTAAGAGACAATTTATATAATAATTAACTTTGAATCAGGCAAATTAGGTAAGTTTTTACGTTATAGTTAAACATG